GCTTATTTATTAAGAATCCTATGTCAAGTCTTGTGTTTGTTAAGTATTGCAGTCACCAACAAGAAATCAACACATGTAAATCAGCCAATGATTTATGCATAACTCAAGTACCAACAAGAAAAATAATTTTAGTTAGAAAGTTAGCAAGTCGCCAAAACCTGCCAATTAATGTGATACAACACCATGCTTCTAGTTTAGGGTGTGTTCAGAGGATGTCCTGCTTCTTGTGATATTCTAAGTGGAATCCTGACCGAAATGGTATTTAATCTATGTCTCATATTTGTATTTGCAATAAGCTTGGAGCAAAGGGAAGAAATTGTGTTCAATTGTTGTTTGATTTTTTTTACAATGTGTTATGATGAATTCCATGAGTTGGCGAGATGTTCTGTGACTTGATTAGACTATTACACTAAGGTTTGATTGTTTCGCTGCAATGATGGTCAAAGGCATGAATGTTGGACTGCAAATAAATTTAAAGTTATTGAAGTACAATCTGCATGCATTCTAACTGAAGACCAAGTGTTACATGTGATCCTGTTTCGTGGTTTAATTGTTTAAATGATTTGAGTAAGCTGTAATAATACTATAGTCTAGCCGTTCGGTGTTTTTTCTTAGCTACAAGTGGCTTCTGGTTGTGTGATAGCATGTTGTATACTACTAGATGTTTAAATGTGCTAATTCGTTGTTAATAAATGTAGAACTAAGTTGTTGTCTGGATTTTGGGTGCCTTAATGAACTTTGCAGGTTGAACACTTAAGAACACTTACGAACTTAATTTATGATCTAGTGAAAAGTGAATTATTTAGGTAGGGGTAAATGGTTTCATACTATCAAAATGGTTTCTTTTTAGGGAAATTATGGGTCATTTAGCTTTGTTCATTAATTCGGTTTGATATACCTTTTTGTATGAAAGCTAAGAAAGTGTAACATATTCACTGATTAGGTAGTGCAACCTTGCCCTGCATCTCTTTGAGCGAATTGGATACATTGTATATGTTTTGGTTGTGATATATTTATCATGCCACTGATCCCTTTTATATTGGGTTAATATCGTGAAGTGGAGTGCTAGCCATAGTGTAGGTTATCTCATTAATTTATGATTTTAGTGGCTGTGCTAGGAAAGGAATGAATGCTAGAAGTAGTTAGGTTTTGTGTTTTGTATACATCTTGATATTTCACTTCAGTGGGGTTGTTTAGGAATGGTTGTANAACCTCCAAGAACATTTGTCAGGTTTGTTAAGTTACAGTTTCTTTCTAATATATATGACATGTTAATTAACATAATAAGACCTTTCCATTTTTCTCTCAAACAAGCAGAATCAGATGCAAATGTTAAGTAAAGAGAATTGATCATAATTTTTTTTTTCTCATTGATCACTATCTACTTTCACTTATGTAGTATGTCAATAACTAAACAACAAAATTAATTAATAATTCTTGTAAAAACCTACTTTTGTAATTATTTAATTATTTTTAGTTCTTTTAGCAACTAAGTCAACAAGACCTTTATGAAATCTTGAATCCTTTTTCTTCTTGAAGGATCAAGAGACAAGTATTTCACTAAGAAAAGATACATTAACCAACCATTATGGATTTTTATCATTCACACTTGTGGTTGTGGTTCAGAGCATTTAAGAATTTTATTAAGTTCAAGTCAATGAATAATTTAATGTGTAAATAAGAGTGAATGATATCTTGAAGATACTTGAATATTCTTGTTATACCTTATTAGTGATCTAAAGTGATAGAGCTCATGACTTGGCTAAGCTTATTTATTAAGAATCCTATGTCAAGTCTTGTGTTTGTTAAGTATTGCAGTCACCAACAAGAAATCAACACATGTAAATCAGCCAATGATTTATGCATAACTCAAGTACCAACAAGAAAAATAATTTTAGTTAGAAAGTTAGCAAGTCGCCAAAACCTGCCAATTAATGTGATACAACACCATGCTTCTAGTTTAGGGTGTGTTCAGAGGATGTCCTGCTTCTTGTGATATTCTAAGTGGAATCCTGACCGAAATGGTATTTAATCTATGTCTCATATTTGTATTTGCAATAAGCTTGGAGCAAAGGGAAGAAATTGTGTTCAATTGTTGTTTGATTTTTTTTACAATGTGTTATGATGAATTCCATGAGTTGGCGAGATGTTCTGTGACTTGATTAGACTATTACACTAAGGTTTGATTGTTTCGCTGCAATGATGGTCAAAGGCATGAATGTTGGACTGCAAATAAATTTAAAGTTATTGAAGTACAATCTGCATGCATTCTAACTGAAGACCAAGTGTTACATGTGATCCTGTTTCGTGGTTTAATTGTTTAAATGATTTGAGTAAGCTGTAATAATACTATAGTCTAGCCGTTCGGTGTTTTTTCTTAGCTACAAGTGGCTTCTGGTTGTGTGATAGCATGTTGTATACTACTAGATGTTTAAATGTGCTAATTCGTTGTTAATAAATGTAGAACTAAGTTGTTGTCTGGATTTTGGGTGCCTTAATGAACTTTGCAGGTTGAACACTTAAGAACACTTACGAACTTAATTTATGATCTAGTGAAAAGTGAATTATTTAGGTAGGGGTAAATGGTTTCATACTATCAAAATGGTTTCTTTTTAGGGAAATTATGGGTCATTTAGCTTTGTTCATTAATTCGGTTTGATATACCTTTTTGTATGAAAGCTAAGAAAGTGTAACATATTCACTGATTAGGTAGTGCAACCTTGCCCTGCATCTCTTTGAGCGAATTGGATACATTGTATATGTTTTGGTTGTGATATATTTATCATGCCACNAATTCAAGCCTGTCATGTTTGACTTAGGCAGTTAATACCGTTGTACCATTTTATTATGTTTTCCTCTTGTATATAAACGTTGTTATTCACTGCTGAAATAATAACTCTTCCATAGTGTTACTTTCAAACTCTTTCTCTTATACATTGTCTATACTTCCTCACTTTCAAACTCTTTCTCTCATACATTCTCTATACTTCCTCACTGCTTTATCAGTTTCATTATCTGCATTGCGTTTTTGTTTCTAATGTTGGAGAGGTTCAATATACACATATTTCCACACTTGTAAGATATTGTCCGTTTTGAGTCAAGCCCTCACAAATTTGCTCTAATACCACTGTTGAGAGGTTCAATAATTAAGTGTACATAGACTTACAAATTTGTTAGGAATGATATGTGCAAGATCAGAAGTCATATAATTAGTTGATTTTAGGTAAACAACCTTCCACATGGAGTCTCATAGTATGGAGGTGAGACTCTACAAACCCTGTCAACTTTTCTCTTCCAATACAAATAATTAAGAAAATGAGATTATGAGAAATTATATATATATATATATATATATATATATATATATATATATATATATTACAATTGATTGACGCAAAATATCATCCAATCTGACAATGACAAATAAATTCTTCTTTCTCATCATCCTAGTGTTCAAATTAACAAGATTTTACTGTAAAAATAATAACATGAAACATTAGCACATATGTTGATTAATAAGTTAAAACAAAAATTAATTATGCGACATTAAAGAAATAATACCTTAATATTAAGCCATATAAGATCCTTCTTTGTCTCTTCAATCTCTCATCTCAACATAGAATGATAATAGGAACATGGAGTCAAACTTTAAATCTCAAATAACTCCTAAACTTAATAACATTTAAATCTCACTCCTTGTAAAATGTCGATCCACTTCAATATTAAGTGAAAATTTTTATAAATAAATTGAAAGCTTATAAATTCAAAATTAGGAGTTAAAATGTTAAGAAAAAACTTAATGTCTTATTGGATTAAAATTGTTTCTTCGTATTTATTATATTTATTGCATGATAACATACGCTTATACATTATTTCAGTTTGGAGGGGAATACTGATATATGTCTGATAGGATCATGCAAGAAGAAGAAGAATATTGTTACATTAGTTGCAACTATTGTAGCATCAATTGTGTTCTCTATCATAATAGTGGGCATAATTATGATTTGGAGATCACTTAGAAGAAATGAAGGAGGTATACTCATAATTCATATGATATTTTCTACAATATTACTATATTAAGTACACCCAATCACTATCATTAAATTTATTCTCATTCTTTTCCTTTTGAATCTTTAGAATTTTTTTAATATGTATTATTTTATTTTTGCTTGATAGATAAACTTATCATATATCTATATTTTTTCTCTTTCATTACTAGATGATAAATAAAAATTAAACTCTTAAATGTCTCCTATCCATGGACATATTTACTCAGAAAATTATAACATTAGCATCACAATATATTCTCTCTTATGAGAATTTTCTTTTAATTATTTCTGCAAACATAGGATGGTTTTGTCTTTTAAAATAATGTAACTATCACTGACCAACTAAATTAGTATATATCACCAACGACATATATATTATCACTAGTCTATCTTTTTTACACAAGCTTATAAGAACAAATTTTTCTACTTTTTTATTTTTATTTTTCTATGTAAATTTCAAATTAGTACTCTTATTACAATTTGTTTAATCTGAAATTCTAAAGTACAAGAATGAAGAATCGCAAAAGCATCTTATTAGATATTTAATTCTCTAGATTTTTAATTCTTTAACAGTGACTCAAACAATGATATTTTTGTTGAAGGATTCAACTAGCTTTCTTAATATTATGCAATTCAAGTATTTGGTTTTTCTTTTTATATATTTCACTTTGCTCTGAATATTTTGCACTATATGAATATTGATTAAATGGCATGTGTTCTTTTTTCATTGTCTAGGGATATCTTCAACTTCAAGAAAAGATCAACTAAAATTAAAAAATCAAACATTTTCTTACTCGGAGATTCATAATATTACCAACGGTTTCGAAACAATGATTGGAAAAGGTGGATTTGGTGAAGTTTACTTAGGCACTTTGCAAAGTGGTGAACGAGTTGCTGTAAAGAAACTCTCTCTGTCATCAAAGCAAGGTTACAAGGAGTTTAAGTCAGAGGTTAGATGGAACAATTGATTAATTAGTCCTTTTTTTTCTTCTTTTCTCGAATTTGCTCAACAAATATATCTTTTTCATTAATTTAAGATATATTAAACATTTCTAAAATGCAGGCAAAGTTTCTAACGCTTGTTCATCATAGAAATGTGGTTTCTTTTGTGGCGTATTGTGATGAAGGTGATGCTAAAGCACTTATTTACGAATATCTATCAAAAGGAAACCTCCAAGAACATTTGTCAGGTTTGTTAAGTTACAGTTTCTTTCTAATATATATGACATGTTAATTAACATGATAAGACCTTTCCATTTTTCTCTCAAACAAGCAGAATCAGATGCAAATGTTAAGTAAAGAGAATTGATCATAATTTTTTTTTTCTCATTGATCACTATCTACTTTCACTTATGTAGTATGTCAATAACTAAACAACAAAATTAATTAATAATTCTTGTAAAAACCTACTTTTGTAATTATTTAATTATTTTTAGTTCTTTTAGCAACTAAGTCAACAAGACCTTTATGAAATCTTGAATCCTTTTTCTTCTTGAAGGATCAAGAGACAAGTATTTCACTAAGAAAAGATACATTAACCAACCATTATGGATTTTTATCATTCACACTTGTGGTTGTGGTTCAGAGCATTTAAGAATTTTATTAAGTTCAAGTCAATGAATAATTTAATGTGTAAATAAGAGTGAATGATATCTTGAAGATACTTGAATATTCTTGTTATACCTTATTAGTGATCTAAAGTGATAGAGCTCATGACTTGGCTAAGCTTATTTATTAAGAATCCTATGTCAAGTCTTGTGTTTGTTAAGTATTGCAGTCACCAACAAGAAATCAACACATGTAAATCAGCCAATGATTTATGCATAACTCAAGTACCAACAAGAAAAATAATTTTAGTTAGAAAGTTAGCAAGTCGCCAAAACCTGCCAATTAATGTGATACAACACCATGCTTCTAGTTTAGGGTGTGTTCAGAGGATGTCCTGCTTCTTGTGATATTCTAAGTGGAATCCTGACCGAAATGGTATTTAATCTATGTCTCATATTTGTATTTGCAATAAGCTTGGAGCAAAGGGAAGAAATTGTGTTCAATTGTTGTTTGATTTTTTTTACAATGTGTTATGATGAATTCCATGAGTTGGCGAGATGTTCTGTGACTTGATTAGACTATTACACTAAGGTTTGATTGTTTCGCTGCAATGATGGTCAAAGGCATGAATGTTGGACTGCAAATAAATTTAAAGTTATTGAAGTACAATCTGCATGCATTCTAACTGAAGACCAAGTGTTACATGTGATCCTGTTTCGTGGTTTAATTGTTTAAATGATTTGAGTAAGCTGTAATAATACTATAGTCTAGCCGTTCGGTGTTTTTTCTTAGCTACAAGTGGCTTCTGGTTGTGTGATAGCATGTTGTATACTACTAGATGTTTAAATGTGCTAATTCGTTGTTAATAAATGTAGAACTAAGTTGTTGTCTGGATTTTGGGTGCCTTAATGAACTTTGCAGGTTGAACACTTAAGAACACTTACGAACTTAATTTATGATCTAGTGAAAAGTGAATTATTTAGGTAGGGGTAAATGGTTTCATACTATCAAAATGGTTTCTTTTTAGGGAAATTATGGGTCATTTAGCTTTGTTCATTAATTCGGTTTGATATACCTTTTTGTATGAAAGCTAAGAAAGTGTAACATATTCACTGATTAGGTAGTGCAACCTTGCCCTGCATCTCTTTGAGCGAATTGGATACATTGTATATGTTTTGGTTGTGATATATTTATCATGCCACTGATCCCTTTTATATTGGGTTAATATCGTGAAGTGGAGTGCTAGCCATAGTGTAGGTTATCTCATTAATTTATGATTTTAGTGGCTGTGCTAGGAAAGGAATGAATGCTAGAAGTAGTTAGGTTTTGTGTTTTGTATACATCTTGATATTTCACTTCAGTGGGGTTGTTTAGGAATGGTTGTATCATTGTGGGTGTTGGACTAGTTTGGTATGAGTTTTAAGTAAAAATAGATTTATGCATGAGTGTGAAATATTTTGATGTGTGTGAGTGAATTGTGTTGGCTTTTATTGAAACCACCTAGACTTTGTAATTTAAGCTTTGGCGTTATGTGATAACTTGGTTGGACAGGGCCTTGAGTTGGAACCTCCATATATGTTTGAACCATGCAATCCATGAAGATTAATTACTAGAGGATTATATTCTTGATCCTAAAAATCCCAAATTTAAGTGTGGTAGACTCTTATTATATTCTTGATCCTAAAAATCCAGTTATACTTGAACCAAGTAATCCATTAAGATTCTCCCAAATCCTTTATTTGGCTTCTATTGTTATCTCAATTACTATTGTTGATGAAGTTTTAGTAGAGAACAATGAAACCAATGCACTGCTAAAGTGAAAACACAACCTTCACACATCAAGAGCCAAGATATCTTATCAACATGGAAAGTTTGTTACACCATACAAATGGGAAGGAATTCATTGTAACAATTCCAAGTCCATCTCCAACACACATCTTGTAAACTATGGTCTCATAGGTACATTTAACACCCTCAACTTCTCAGCTTTCCCTAACTTAATTATCCTAAATATCTATAACAACTCCATATATGGGTACATTCCACTACAAATTGGTAACACGTCCATAATAAATATTTTGAATCCTTCTTCAAATTTTTTCAATTGTTCCATCCCTCAACAAATGTGGACATTAAGGAGTTTAGAAGGCCTTGATCTATACCAAGGTCAACTAAGTGGACACGTTTCCTAATTCCGTAGCAAACTTGTTGAACTTGACATATCTAGATTTAGGCTTAAACAATTTTCCACCACTGACTTGTGACTTTAGGCTTAAATAGTTTTCCAAATTGACATATTTAATCAAACATTATAAGACAACAAGCAACAATTAAAGTAAGTTTGCATTCATCTTGGTTTTACCTCAATTCTCCAATTACCATAAGCAATCACAGAATTAACAAACACATCACATTGGATTCACATGCCATATGCAAAATGGTAAACTAATTAAAACTAACTTGGTATTTTACGCAGAAGAAGATGACTTAATCGTTGAAGCTCAGCACTGCATGAACCCTCGACCTTGGTCAACGCACTAGGGAGCTCCTCCTTACGACAATGGCCTCCTCACACCAACATCCATGATCACGAACCCTCTACAAACCATGAAATTGTCATACCTCCACCAACCACAAACCATAACCACGAACCAGGAAACCCTTGTACCTCCACCAACAAAAAGACACAAACCCTAGAAAACCGCAAACACATAGGAAAGGGAAGACCACAACGATGGGCCTCTCGATAGCAGGAGTTAGTGAAAGTTGGGGAACTCCAGAACACACTATGATTAAACAACAATGGAGGTAGGGGAACATGACACCGACAACGAATTGGGGAATAACAGTGGCAAACTGAGATTTGGAAACCAGAGAAAAAGTGCAAGGAGAAGAGTTTCGAGTGAATTTGGGGGAGAAAATACCTTAATTTTGTCCTAATTTCATCGAGATGGTTATCAATGGTCATATATCTGTCGATAAATTAAAACACCCACTAATTACCAACGAATATATCCACAGAGTAAGTGAAACACAAGAGGTCGTTGATATATTTGTTGGTAAATTAAAACACCTACCCATTACCAATGAATATATCTGTCGGTAGATGCAAGACAAGAGACCGTTGGTATTTTCGTCGATAATTTTTTGTTTAACCAAATTTCTTCATTTTTCATACTTTTCTTGCATTTTTCATGCAATGTTTGGCTTGACTTTTTGTGGTTTTGATTATTTTCTATTGTTGAATTTATTTTTAAGATGTCGTGAAACTTTAACCAATTTATTTTTATATCTCTATCAGCTCAACTTAACTGCAATTTCGTTTATCATGTATATTGAATTATTTTTATGATAATAAATAATAATAAAATTATTATTTGAAGGATGAAATTGAAAATAAATTTGAACACCAACTTCATAATAAGAAATCTTCATAAGTATAGATACTTATTATTGGCATAAACAAGTCGTAAATATATGATCGTAATTAATATTCTTAATGTACAAAAATTTCGTTGCATAGATACAGTTGCATGATTCAGAAGGCTTTGATCAATATTATTGATAATATATATAAAGCTTGTTTTGTAGAGAAAAGCTCAAGTGTCTTGGGATGGAAAGAGAGAGTTCAAATTGCCTTAGATGCAGCAAGTGGTAAATGATCAAAACTATATTCATAAACGTTCATTCTCTTAAAGTTATTATTTTCTTTAGGAACTAGTTACATTTATACCAATTATGCAGGATTGGATTATCTGCATAATGGATGTAAGCCACCTATAATTCATAGAGATCTGAAAGGTTCCAACATCCTACTAGATGAAAATATGCATGCCAAGATTTCAGACTTTGGATTGTCTAGAAATTTTGCAAATGACAATGACACTCATGTCTTAACTAATTACCCAGGTGGCACACCAGGTTACCTTGATCCTGAGTAAGTATATAACAAAATTTACTTCTTAACAGTGTTAGGTTAAATATATATTTTGTCTTTTAATTTTTACTGAAAATTAAAATTAGATATATTTTTTTTAAATTTTAAACAAATTTAATCTCCTAACTTTATAAATAAACAAATTTAGTTTTTGAAATGAATTGTGTTCTGACGTTCCATTATGAAATATAAAATGACATTTCACAATATTAGAGGTTGTAAAAAAGGAAGCAGATGACGCATATAAAAACTATATTCTCTGTTAAAAATATTGTTGCTATTTTTTGTTATATGGCGAAATATCAATTACATAACTCAGCAAATGTTTAACCTTGATTCATTTGGCGGACTAAATCCACTTATTTATGAAATTGAAACATTAAAGTAATTCTAAATTTTGAAAAATAATTAATTTTAATTTTTAATAAAAATTAAGGAATAAAAATATATTTAATCCATAATTTTAAAGATTATAAAATTTTGGTTTCGGTGATATATTCCTTTTCTTTGATTTGTCTCCTAATAAACTTTTTTTCATGGTAATCATTGTGATTCAACACTAATTAAAACCTTGTGTTTATCTTCTTGGTATATTTTCACAGATTTCACTCCTCGGGTACTCTTAATAAAAGAAGTGATGTTTACAGTTTCGGGGTAGTTTTGTTAGAGCTAATTACAGGTCAAGCAGCAATAAGAGGAACTCCTGAGAAACCAAGTCACATACATACTTGGGTTAAAGAAAAACTTGAAGGTGGAGATATTAAAGCAATAGTTGATCCAAGATTAGAAGGAAATTACCATGTTGCTTCAGCTTGGAAATTTTTGGAAATAGCCATGTCTTGCCTTCCTGATATTGCCATCCAAAGGCCTGACATAAGCCATGTAACCTCAGAACTGAAGGATTGTTTGCATTTGGAAGCATCCCTTCAAAGGACTGTGAGCAACAACAGGGATTCATTCCTCATGGATTCTGTGCTGATTGATTTCAGTGAATCTGATATATGTCCAAATCCTAGGTAGGATTTCTCCCCACCTAAATTTGCTCAAAATAAATGGATTTACTTCAGCAAAAACATTGTCTCTGTACTTGCTTTGTACTATATTTATTACCTTGTTTTCGGTAAGGATGCATATTAATTTTTATTTTTATTTTCATTTTCATTGATTCATATTTGTATATTTATGCTTCAACAATTTTTTACCGTTTTTATAATGACAATTTATACATGTTTTTTGCGTTTCATTAATAGAAGAGAAATATATAAAGTAAAGAAAAAGAAAAAAACTACGAAGATCTTAAATAAGAATCTAACTTGTCATAGGTTAGTTATTACAAGAAAAATTTTAAATTAGAGCCCTTGTAATTGTATTTTATATGATAATTTGAATATGAATATGAAAATTGAATAACTATTAAAAAGCAGAAAAAAGGTTAAAAAATGGAAAAAAAATTTTGAAAGACCAATATGGAGCCAAAATTGAGACAAACCTAATTAAAATGAAATTATTGTATGCTGCAATAATATAAGGCAATAGTTAATTAAAAACCCAAATCAAGGATTTAAAAGAATTGAACTAAAACTTACAATCATATATAAAAAGGGAAATGAAATGTTTGGAAACAAACAATATCAATTATGGAAACCAATTAGAATCTTTGACCAGTAAGCCGAAGAAATGCAAATAGAAATACAACCTATATATAAATATACCAACGAATTAGAAACTTTATTTTTAAGAATATTTTTTCAATATTATACGGATTGAAATAAAGTAAAAATTTCTGTTAATATCTAAATAGATGAAGTTTAATACTGCTTTGAGATACTTTGGTGTGCAACAATTAGATCCTTAGTTGCTAAACACAGTTAATATCTAATAGACGTCTCTGATTTGAATTGGAGATGAAGTTGTCATTGCTGAAGGGGTTTTGGTTCAAAGCCATGAGGTGAAGAATGAAATTATAAGGCTTGTTCCTATATAAGTTGGGGAATTATGCATTTGGGCCTTATTCTAACATTAATCAGAAAAGGAAGTGTTATTAAAGAAGGGGTTTTTTCATGCATCCCAAGTTCTTTTTCTTGCACCCAAAATTTTCATAATCCCCGTACCCATTTGACCTTGATTAGGATTAAAATTCTAAATCATTTTCCTCTTTGTGCAACATGTCTTCTTCTCATCTTCTCCCTTGTGTTTAGAAATGACAAAACGGATCAATTCGATCCGTTTTAGTCTGATCTGTCATTGGTTTATAAAAAACGAATTAGATTAGGTTGGTTTCTAATAGGATAGGCTGCGTGTCAATTATGTTGATTTTTCTTGAAAATCGTGATGCTTCAACGTTGATCTCTACTATAAAGTCCAATATCTAGGGTTTTTTTTTACGTTTCTAGGCAAAAAGCTTTCCTAAATTACCGATATAGGAAAACTTTTTGGTCAATTACATATATAGGCAAGTCGTGCAGACCCCACACTACTTCAAATGAAGAAGTCGTGCAGATGGTGCATGACTTCTGCCCTCACACATTGAAAAGGATGAAGTCGTACACCCCTCACACGTTTTCATTGCTTGGTAAGCGATTACGAGCACCTATAATCGATTACACGGTGTTAAAGTTGTGTAAGGTGACCACGACTTCACTGCTAATCGATTACACCACAACAGTAATTGATTACCAGTGCTAAAATTCAAATAAAAAAGGGTTTAGTAATCAATTACAATGTTGTTGTAATCATTACCAGATGAAAAAAAAAGCTTAAAACTAAGTAAAAATATGAATTCGAATAACCAAAGGGATTTGTGCATAAAAAATTGTCATGTTTCCTTTATTCTCTTCATAAATTGGATCAATTGTTTGTTAAAGGAGAAAATAAGATATACTATAAAGCAAAAATGTAGTTTATTACTATTAAAAAACTATTAACACAAAGATAAGAATTATTGATGATATGGTCATGTCCCCCTATGATGACCTTCGTTGTGGCAATAAGAACATCTCATTATGAATTCTACTGGTAGTTGGCCTTCTCGATGCCTTGCGTCGCATTTGATGATCTGGTATGATGTTTGGACCAGTATACGCAGACCAATAATCTTCATTTCGGAGGGGTTGAGATTGTACTTCATATGTCTTTTAAATATTGTGAAGAGTGTAAACCAGATAGAAATATTGGGCTAATGGTATATGTAAATATACACAAACGACAATGGATGATGACACGAGAGATGAATAGCTTGGAAGTGACAACAATCATAAAACCATTCATTTAACTTGACGTTATATGAAATTGGATGTGGATGATATTGGTAGGGTGTTGAGATTTCCTAAAAATCAAATTCAGAATTTTTTCGATCATAAAACTGCAGATTGTCACTACAAAAAAGAAGGGCATTATCGAAGGCCAGGAGCCCTCGAAAACAGCCCGAAACCGTCGATAAAAGGTAATTACAAACGGCTTATCAACGGTCAAAGAGCCCTCGGTAAATCCCTTGTTGCTAACATTTACCGAGGGCTTCCGCCCTTCGGTAATTACCGAGGGCCAAAAGCCTTCGGTAATTACCAAAGGGCGTTCTAAAACTTGTCCTGTCATGCACCACTGGACTTTGCATTTGGAAACATAAACCTGCACATGCCAACCTAGAATCGAAAATTGGAGCATCAAACAAATTTTTATCATCATTTTAAAGATATTTAAACA